GACCTCTTCGGCGCCACGACCTTTGCCTCGCTCTCGATCCTGGCGGCGGCCATCCACTTGGCCAACGAGCGCGACGCCAATGCGTACTGGCGGTCGCTCACGCTCTCGGTCGTCTCGCTGCTCTGGGCGCTGCGCCTTGGCTCGTTCCTCTTTCTGCGCATCCACGGCGCCGGCTCGGACAACCGGTTCGACGACATTCGCAACGCGCCGCTCAAGTTTTTCTCGGTCTGGACACTGCAGGGTCTCTGGGCGTTTGCAACGATGCTGCCGGTGCTGTTACTGCACACGCACGCCGGGCCGCAAGTCGGCGTGTGCGCTGCCGACATCATTGGTACGCGGTCCCTCTACTAATCTCGTGTCGTATCTCACATTTCGTAGGCTTGGCGCTCTGGCTCATCGGCTTTGGCACGGAAGTCGTAGCGGATGCTCAAAAGACGGCGTTCAAGAAGGACCCAGCGAACCGCAACGCGTTCATTAACGTCGGTCTTTGGTATTACAGTCGCCATCCCAACTACTTTGGCGAAATCCTGCTCTGGATCGGCCTCACGGTCGTCTCGGCGGCCCAGCTGACAACACCCGGGTACATTGTCGTCGCGTGCTTCTCGCCTGCGCTGGTGGCCACGCTCCTCATTTTTGTGAGTGGCATCCCGATCCTCGAAGCCAAGGCGGATGCAAAGTGGGGCGCCGAGCCGTCGTACCAGCAGTACAAGCAGCGCACGAGCATCCTCATTCCGTGGTTTACCACGTCGCACTCGCACCTCGAAGTACGTAGTCCTGCGTAATGCGATGCACTATTTACATGCTTTTTATTCGCCATTGACAGCGTCGTCCTGACTGTAGTAGCGATACGGTACGCGCCCCGCTGCTGTGAGCCTCTACGCGCAATGGCCGAGGCTGGCAGGATCTTGTAAAGGGGCTTGCAACATGATAAGCGATGATCTTGCATGGTCTAGCGAGACGGTAGCCGAGGGGAAAACCACTGACCCGTCGCGACGTTCAAATGAGCGCGTTTGTTGATCGGGTGCCGGCTCTGGAAACATAGAGATGACCTTTGTGACGACGTCGTGCCATCATCAACTAAAGTAGTGAGCTGGTTGATGTCGGCTGCGAGGGCTGGCTTCGCGCTGGTTCATCCGATTGATACATTGATACCTTGTCCCTCCACTAGCGACGAAACGTGCATCGAGAGTACGAGGCAGGGTTTGACTGCAGAATTAACCGACTCTGATGCATCGCACGACCGCCGTTGGCGTGTACTACCGACGGCTGCATGCAGGACGCGTCCCGGATGACTTGGTCCAGTCTGTGAGAAAAGACATACAACCCAGTTACACTCTAGTCGGTCTACAACTGATGGGCACACTCGTGGATCGGCGCTTGGACGTGGGGGTGAGGACAATGTCGTCGGCATTGGCGTCGAGCGAGCGCAGTAGAATCATCACAACGGCTTTTGCCGTGCGGGTTGGCTCGATTGCGTCGACGCGACGCTCGAGTGAGGTCCGCACGTCGCCAAGGACGTTGCCGACATGAACGAGGTCAAGGTGCAGAAAACGGTGCCACTCGGCGTCCAGCGTCCGGCGCAGATCGCCGAGGTCGGTCGGCTTGCGTAGCAAAAGAGAAAAAAGCCGCACCGACCGACTCAGCGCCGTCGTCATCATCGTGCGTGGGACAGCTCCGCCGGTCGCTACGCCGTGTGCCTTTTGCAGCTTGCGGTCGTGGTATTGCTGCTTGGCCACCTTCGCGTTCGGCGTCATCAGATCGCTCCATGTCGACGCCTGAGTCCTTGTCAGGCCTAACGAGAGCCCACGCGCCGTGGCCACGCAACCGCGCGCACTGCCGATCCAGATCCGGGACCGACGCGTGTAGAGGTCCGAGACTGCGTCCGGCGCCGGGATCGCAGCCATTCGGCCAGCGATGCGCAAGGCGTTGTACTCATGGACAAAGATCGTCGTTTGGCTCATGTTGTCCATGGTCTGCAGTCCAAGCGCAAAGTGGGCCGAGGGCGCACAATCCAGCAGCAGCTGGTCGACCATAAGACGCTGCAACCGTACGTCACACTACTAGAGACGCTCCTCACGACCAAAATGGCGCCAACCAAGCTCGTCTTTGCGTCGCTCGGTGGCCCCTGGACCGCGAGGATCGAGACAAGCAGACGCTTTGGTCGTGAGGCGTCTGTAGCAGTGTGACGTACGGTTGCAGCGTCTCCGCGGCTCCTTGGCCGTATTGATGGCCGGCACTGCCCGCCACTCGCCGCATGGCCATTGAGAGCAGCGGCGCGAGGATTCCATTGACGAGCGTGGCTCGCAGCACGTGGCCGGCGCCGTGGCCTCATGTCACGCAATGAGATGGCCGCCCATCCGGACACCGTCGTCGTCGTCGTCGCCTTGGTCGTCGTCGCGCGCTGGAGCCAATGGACGGCGGCGTCGGTGGCGGCCTTGCTCTGGTGCCATCGGCTGCCCATGTGGTCGCAAACAACGGGCCGCTGTGACCCCACACCGAAATAGAACAAGGGCATTTTGACCTTTTACAGAGCAAGTCCTCAAATTGAAGGTCCCAAACAAGGCGCCTTCAGCGATCCTGATTGGCTGGATTAAATAGAACGAGAGGGCCCCAAGATCCCCATGCCAAAATTCTTGTCCCCAAGCAGGTCCCAAGTTGCCCATTCGGGTACGTCCCCTACACAAAACGTTGCCCTAACCTGCAAATTGGTTTCCGCTCTCGTTCATTATCCAAACAACCACAACAACAACAACAACAACAACAAGAATGGTCACCGACTACACTATCCTCGATTATCTCTTGTGGATCAATCAATACGTCATCATGATACTGTTCGCTACGCTCTTGGGGGGACATCTCGGGCGGATCGGCGCGCCCCTTGCGGCACCACTCGCGCGCTGCGCCAAAAACTTCGTGATCACACTCATGCGCAAGAAAAGGGACAAGCTGGCGTGCAAGTATACCGCCAAGTTTGGCTTCGTCGCCACCATCGCAGCCTTCGCCAGTGTCTGTCTTATCACCCTGCATCTCGCGCCAGAGACCCGGCTGCTGAGCACAGACCCTCGGCACAAGCACTGGAACATGTTCATCAAGTGCATCTTGAACGAGCCGACGGAGAAGCGGCAGCGGCGCCGCGACGAGCTACGCCCCTGTTATAAACTAGTAGTTTCTGAGAAATAATGAATTTTATTGTCTAAAGTTTCGACCCCATGGTCTTATTTATCACCGCAAACAACACTGGTTGAGGAGCGTGACGACGACGACCGTTGCGTGGCTCAGTAGCAATAATGCTTTGAGCACGGGCAACTCAAAGAAACAATCCTATTGCCTCGACCATTGACGCATCTCGACGTCCAAGCGGCCGTACTGGTACCTCACGCCCGCTGTGTCGGAAGCAGCATCCGAAGCACCTGACTTCGAACGGTTTGATTACAATAGGTTTGCCGCAGCCGTGCAAGGCGACGGCGATCTCAGTCGGGCGTGGGTCGAATTGGCTCCAGCGCGCGACGACGAGAAGCATCTGGGCCGCCGCATTTGCAGTGGCCGGTAAGGGGTGCCAGCGCCACGAATACTAGCGATCACACGGCGCTGCTTTGTCCGTCCACCAAATACAGACCCCACTATCCTTTACCTTGTGGCATCGAGTTATTAAAATAAAGTAATGGTATTTGTCGGGTCTAATCGAGCTTGAGGCTCGCGCGCAGCGCTTGGAACTCGGCTTCGATCGCGGCAATAAAGGCCGTCGGAGTCTGCTTGATCGACGTGTCCATGAGCACCGTGACACCGAGCGACGTGCCCCACGACGTGATCGCGACGCCCACGTTGACGCTCGGCGGCGGCGGCACAAACGCATACGAGGCCGACAAGCGCTGGCCGCAAAAGTAGATCTCCATCGGCGGCCCGCGGACGTTCGTGATCGCGATCGAGACGTTCGAGGCCGACCAGTGGACGCCATGGCGCATGAGGTCGCGGGGCAGGCTCATGATCAAGAGGCTCACGAGGCGCGTAAAGTTCTTCTCGAGCGAAAACTTGGCTTCGGCGAGGCGCCGTGCCACGAGGCGCATGCGCGTCGACGGGTTGGCTTCGCCGACCGGCAAGTCGATGACGAGCGAGCTAAAGTCGTTGGAGGTCGCCTCGATCGCGCGGAGGCCGCGCATGTTGACGGGAATGCCGGCACGGAGCGAGAGCGAAGGGGCGACGGGCGCGTTCGTCTCGGCTTCGATCGTCTTGCGGAGCGCGCCGGCAATGCAAGACACCAGCACGTCGTTGAGCGTCGCCTTGAAGTGCTTGCCGACGGCCTTCGTGTCGGCAATCGAAAAGGCCAGCGTGTAGCCGAGCCGCTTGCGCGTGTGGCCCGTCTGCTTGAGGACGGTGCGCGGCTCGGGGAAGACGACCATGTTGACAAACTTGCGCACATAGAGAAACGTCGACCAGAGAATCGACGCCACGACCACATACAAGGGCGTGCGCGGCGGCTTGGTGGTCGGCGCGGGCATCGTCGGCAGGGTCGGCATCTCGGTGGCGTCGCTGAGCTTGAAGAGCGCGAGCGAGAGCGACGCGCCGTCGCCAATGCAGTGGTGGATGCGCCAGACGAGCCACGTCTTGTCGTCGTGGTGCAACATCGTGATGGCCCAGAGCGGCAGGGACGGGTCGAGCTCCTTGTTGGCGAGCGACTCGGCAATATCGTGCGGCGTCTCGTTGTCGACGAGCACGTGCTCAGTGATATGGTGGCCCGCGTCAAACGACGAATCGATCACAAAGTTGCCGTCGTCGACGCGCGAGATGAAGCGGTAGAAGAACGCCTTGTCCGACGTCATGCGCTCGTGGAAGTGCGCGACAAGCGTCTCGCGGGCGACGATACCGTCGAGGACTGTGATCGTGAGCGGAATCGACCGGTTCGAGTCGGTCTCACTCTCCTTCGTCGCCCAGCCGAGCGTCGACATGCGCCGCTTCAGGCGACCCTTGAGCGACGGTGCGGCCTGGCGCGACCGGGCCACGTGGAGAAAGGTGATGGCGATGGCCGCCAAGAGCACGACCCACTGGAAGAGCGACGTCGCGTCCATGGCCAGCGGCAGTGGCAGAGACGTGAGGAGCGAGGATGCTGTGTCCATGCTGGTGGATTCGGATCTGAGCGGCTCGTCGCGCCGAAATATAAGCTGTTGACGCGACAGGTGCGCCCGTTGACGCAACAGCGCGCTGTCGCAGGTGCCACGTACACCATATCCGGATGTCGAAGATTCGAGAGGACCTACCAAAACGAGTGTATTTTCGAGGCATAAAGCGTTTTGGAGGGACCCCTCGAAACCATATCCGGACGACCGAACGCGTTGCGGCACTCGAAAAGGTACTTAACGGTGGGTGGCAAGATACGTTCGATGCCGAGCTGATCTGAGCACATCTCGTCCGCTTGCGTCAGACACAGGCACCAAACCTTGGCAACGACACGGCATGAATCGTGCGACCTCGTCGCAACACGTTGGGTGATGTTGCATGACGCGACCCGTGCATCGTTGTGATTATCGCACCCGACAACAGGCTTGTCGACCTCGTCGTCCCGACCTGATTGTGGCGTCCCTTGGTGCCCACGGTTGTACGCTGGCTACTCTTTTCTGACCCGAGTTCGAAGTGCACGCAGCCGCGCGAATTCGCGCGCGCAGTGATAGCGTTCGGTGGTCAAGTCGATGCGATTCGATTACCGAAGTAGTTTTTCCAGAACGTTAAGATCCTTTTTGAATCTATGTCGTGCAGCGTGTCGAGTCGTCCCCAAAGCCATCGTGCTGGCCCAGCTGGTGGCGTGACACACGTCTGGCCCATCTGCCAAGTGATCACTGGATTTTTCACTATATACGAGAGTGCGCCTCGCACACGATGGGCAACGACCCGCCACAAGGCCGCCGGTTCGTAGCTAGAAGTGACGAGACCGCGACGGAAGGTCTTGCCTCGCACAAGCTGCTGGCATCGAAAGCACACCAATATTGATGGCGGTGCACGGCAAAGTGCACGGCTCCTCGCACGGACGCATGTCTCGTGTCGTGTCAACAATGATGATCATGGTCATGGCGCGCGGCTCTCATCCACGCAAGAACATTCTTGGTTGCTTCAAGCGTCGTCTCGTCGTGATCCTTCAAATGCGTCTTTGTGGCGACTGGTGGTGGCACGGCCAGATTCACGTCCGGACTCGCGTAGCAAGGAAGGATGGTCGTGGTGCTTCTACGTTGAGGTTCAAACCGACGAGTTCACGCGCCTGTTGACCCAATGCCCGAAAAGGGCGAGGTCGACGTGCATAGCCAAGTCTCTCGTGTCGAGGCGACAGCAGTGCTGCAGGTCGACGTGCACGCGATTGCGCTACGTGGTCGCTGCATCAGCGTCGAGGCGATAAAAACAACCAAGTTACTTTTTCGCTCCCGGTAGTTCCCAGGCATACAAGTAGGTGCTACGGCGAGGAATTAGCCAAGCACCGTGTTGCGTCAACACCGTTGAGAGATACGTGCAAGTGTCGGCGCTGGATTTTGTCCCGTCGCCTGCGTGGATTGCGTCTTCGAGCAACGACGCTGCCAGCCGTCCGTTCCGCGTTCGATATTTCTAAAAATAGAACGCGATTTTTCGAGCCTCAATTGAACAGTGGAGGCATCAACAACTCTTCTGCGCATTGACCTGCGGGAGTGCGAGACCATGGTGTGAGAGACCGAGTAGAACTGGCTGATTTCCATCCCGATGACAGGCCAGATCGTCTATATCTCAAGCTTAGTTGTACGAAATTGGAGATTTGGCAAGCTTTATTGTGCGAAATCAAACATTTCGAGTGCTTTCACAACGACTAGAGACTCCAGAGGGACTCGACAGTGTACATTGGAGGTGTAGATGACTGGCAGAGCCATTTGGAGGAGATCGATATTTGGCGCTCGCTGACTCGAGTGACTTGAGGGGCCCAGTTGTGACGTCACAACCGATCTTTTCGCTTTTAAATGTGGCACATGCCACCAATAGACCCACGCAAACCATCGAAAACCTTCGAAAAGCAGCCAATCGCACGCGAGCGAGATCGTTGTATGCCCAGCCGACCGACGCCGAGCCGACCAGAGGAGGTGCAGCACCTCATGGCTTCGGACGACAGCGCCCGCGACCACGGCCTCTTGCAGCTACCTGACGGCAGCTCAATGAGTCTTCTCTACTTGCCGCCAGAGTACCGGTCGATTCGGCACTACTGCCCACGCGTCGGCAAGGCGCTCGTCTACTATATGGCCAGCGTCATGACCTTTGGTATCTTGCCGCTGCTCGCGCACTGGTGGCCGCGACTGTACGCAGCGGCCAAGCTCTGCGTAGCGTCCACGTCGAGCGACTTTGTCGCGACCGACCTTGTGCTCCTCGAAGCCGAGGCCAGTCCCGGGACGTTCGACCTCGTGCCACTGCGCGTGTCGCCCGACGGCAGCGTCTCGTTCGAGTACCGAAAGAACCGGTATCTGTACGACAAGGACCTGCGCGAGTTTCATCGACTCAGCGCGTCGGTCGAGCAGTTGCCAGTGGCGACGGCGCTTAGCCGCCTGTCCCGAGGCTGGGGCGAAGACAGCGTCGCGACGCTTCGCGAGACGTTTGGTTCCAACGGCATGGACCTCGGCGTGCTTCCTATCGAGCGAGTGCTTCTTCAAAAGATGCTGCACCCGTTCTACGTCTTCCAAGGTGTCTCGGTCGTGCTCTGGCTCATTGAAATGTACTATACGTACGCGATTCTCATTCTCATTATGAGTCTCGCCTCCGTGATCTACGAAGTCGCGACCCAACTCATCAACATGCGCAAGCTCCAAGCACTCGTGCACAATGACGCAGTCGTCCGTGTTGTTCGGGACGGTGCCGTCACCGGCGTCCCCGCCGACGCCCTCGTCATCGGCGGTACACTTGATATTTGCTTGATTTTTGATTATTCAAGTATGGATTGTCGATGCTAGATGTGGTCTTGCTGGACACGGGTCTCGTGCCCGCCGATATGGTACTCCTGCACGGCGACGGCACGGTCGACGAGTCGTCGCTCACGGGCGAAGGTACACCGCGTGTCCTGCCGCCGGCGTGTTCACGGTGTCGTAGCGATCCCGGTGCAGAAGCAAGCGCTATCCGATTCCGCCGTGGTCCTCGGACCACACCTCGTCGCGACAAAGAAGGAGTCGGTGCTGCATGCCGGCGCCGGTATCGTGCGCCATACGCCAAACGCCAAAGGACTCGTCTTGGCCACGGGCTTCTCCACAAGCAAAGGTGCGTGCCGAGGCTAATACCGGTCCATTCGATGGTGGAGACGGATGCTGGCGTAGGCGAACTCTTTCGGTCCATTGTGTGTCCCAAGCCGGTGCAGTTCCAAATTGAAGCCGACACGTACCGGTTCCTAGCCGGTTTGACTGTCGTTGCGGTTCTTGCCGGGATCCAAAACGCCATTGACGCGTGCGTCCCAATGACACGCGTGCGTCACTCATGTTGGCGTAGGGCGGCGGCTGGCGTCGTCTGGTGGCGCATCCTCGTCTCGTCGCTCGACCTCATCACGATCGCCGTGCCGCCAGCGTTGCCCCTTATTCTGACCGTTGGCGTCGGCTTCTCGCTCGGACGGCTGCAGCGCCAGCGCATCTTTTGCATCGACGCGCCGCGCATCAACCTCGCGGGCCACCTCGACTGCTACTGCTTTGACAAAACCGGGACCCTCACGACGGACGAGATGGTCTTTGATGGTGTCGACAGCCTTCGCAGTCGTCCGCACCGTCGCTCGTCCGACAGTATCGAACCCGTGCATATGGCGCCGCCGTTGCTTCGCACGGGCCTCGGGGTCTGTCACAGTGTCGCGTGGCAAGTCGACGGCGTCACCGGCAGCCCACTCGAGCGCGAAATGCTCGACGCGTCCGGGCACCGACTCGTGTCGTCGTCCGACATTCAGTGCGACGCCACCGGTGATCTCTTTGAACGCCTCCGGCAATTTGCGTTCGATGCAAGCGTCCAGCGGTCCAGCGTCGTGGTCCGAAACAAGGCCACCAACGCGCTACGAGTCTACACCAAGGTAGTCCACCGAAGCGCTCGATCCACGGCGACAGTGTGCATAGGGCTCGCCCGAAGCCGTCGCTGCCATCTGTGTGCCGGCGTCTCTACCGCCGACGTTTCGATCCAGTGTCGACCAGTATGCCCGCGACGGCTACTACTGCCTCGCCCTCGCCTACCGCGACATCGACGCTTTACCGGCGGACGCCCAGCGCCACACGGTCGAAGCCGACGTGCACTTGCTCGGACTACTGCTATTTCGGGTGCAACCATCGACCATGGTGCGATCGTGACGACGATGTCTGAGTAGAACCCGATCAAAGACGAAGCGTTCGAGGTCATTCGGACGCTGCAGCGGGCGGCCATTGACATCCGCATCATCACGGGGGACAATGCGCTCACGGCCATTCACGGTACCGTGGCAACGAGGACATACATCGGTCATCACGACGCTATTAGTGTCGCGCAAACTGCAGCTGCTAGTTCGTCCCGTCGTCTACCTTGTGGTATGTGCTTGGCACGTCCAGCAGCGCGTATACATGTCGCATAGGACGTTCACGCCATCGACGGCGTCGTTCTCGTCGATGTGAGTGCATCTGGCCACCCACCGACGCCATTTGTGACTAGTCACCTCGAGCGAGGCGACGTGGCGGTAGGTCTCGCGTCGGCGTTCGAGGCGTTGCGACGGAGTTGCGTAGCTCACGGGGGCTGCCCTCGAAGCGCTGCAGACGGCGCTGCCCCCGACCGACGTGCACGCAATAGTGCTGCAAACCAAGATCTTTGCGCGCATCCGTCCGGATCAAAAGACGTGGATCATCGAGCAACTCATCGGAGCCGGGTACAATCATGGTCGTTTTGGTGTGATATGAACGAAGCGGCGAATTAGAAAACATGTGGGCATGTGCGGCGACGGTACCAACGACTGCGGTGCCCTCAAGGCCGCCCACGTCGGTCTCGCGCTCTCGGACGCCGAAGCGTCGATTGGTACACGCTTCGATCCTCGGTGGCGGTCCGTGTACATATTTCGGATTAGTGGCCCCGTTTACGAGTCGCGACAAGAACATTCGGGACGTCGTGACGCTCGTGCAGGAAGGGCGGTGTGCGCTCACAACCTCGTTCCTTGCGTTCAAGTACATGGTCATGTACCCCGTGTCCAAGTCGTCTTGACGTCGACGCTATATGCATCGATGATTTCGCTCGGCAACAACCAGGTGCGACGACCACGGTTACCGTCGTTTTCTGTACACTTCTTGTAGTTTTTGCTCGACGACATGGTCATCGTGCTCGGTCTCTCGATGCTAATGCTCCAGACAGGCCCGTCGCGGGTTTTAACCCGCCACCGTCCACCTGATACGCTCTTTGTACGTCGACGGCATCGGGTCGGGCGGTGTCCACCGTGAGTCGTAGGCGCGCCCAATCGTGGCGTCCCTCGGCGGCCACGTGTTGTTGTATGTGCTGTGCTTTACGCTTCTCCGACTTGTGTTGGTCGCCGAGCCGTGGTATTGCACCGTCGACGAGGCCAAGACGCGGGCGCGGGCGTCGTGCTTCACCTACGTCGCACCGGACAACGACGGGTACACAAGGCAGTCGTACGAGAACACGGTGCTGTGGCTCTACGGTCACTGGGCGTTTGTGCTTTTGGCGATCGCGATGAACATCAAGGACCCGTTCCGGCAATCAGCGTGGAGCTCGAACCGCCCGTTTGTCGCCTATGTTATAGCGATGGCCTTCCTACTCGTGCTGTTGACGCTCACGTCGTCGCCCACTGTCTTATCGTACGATGCTTCGTATATATTGACACTGCATGGTTTGTATGCATAGGATATTCGAGCTGGTCGGGGTCCCCGCCGTGTTTCGATGGGAGATTCTCGGTGTCGTCGTTTTTCACGGCGTCGGCGCCATCGTGTGGGAGCGCTTTGCGACGCGACACCGCGCTATAGACGAAGACGCACCAGCGTTGACGTCGTCGCCCATCGTGGTCTAAGTCTTGTGCTTTTGACAAACTACGTACATAGGATGTCATTTGCGTTGATAAATGTACTTTGCACCATATCGATCGCAGTGTTGTGGGCCTACACAGTTTGGTCCGATTCGAATCGACGAACCGGTGGCACTTGATGAGTGAATAAGTCTAGTGGTATGATTTGTGCGCAGGGTGCAGGAGGCTCCGATCTCGATCAAGTGAAACAAGCACCATGAAAGGTCCAATTATCAAGTTGATACATGCAACGTCTTCTACGCGGACACGAGTGTCCATAGTTGTTTGTTGTTCGACGTGTCGTTCGAGAAATCGCACGGGGCGACGCCAGCCGTCGTGTCGCCCTTGTCGACCAGACACTGCGTGATGTACGTGTAGTGTTGAATGCGGTTGGTCCCCGACTCGGTGACGATCCACTTTTGGTTGCCGTTGTTGAGGTTGCACGGGTATGTGTGCAGGTGGTACGCCAGTGACGTGTCCTGGTAGACGTCGAGGCACTCCAAGTTACTCTGCACCTGCAGTGTCTTGGCGTTCGCGTCGTAGCGGAAGACCTCGTTGCGGTTGCTCTTGAGCGTGTTGGCGAAAAGGCCCGTGTAAAACTCGGAGAGGTAGTTGTCGCCCGACCGAATCCGCACCGACTTTGGTGGTGTCGATTGGTCGCACGAGCCAAAGTACTGCGTCGCCGTGTCGCCGTTGCATGGCGCCACTCCGACAACCACAGCGGCTTGACCGGGCACGTATGTCAGACAATAATTGCTGGGTCCAACACTCTTGATGGCATTGCCGGCGATTGACCACTTCTGAGCGTCGCCTCCGGTGCACATATCGGTACGAACGTAAGCGGTTGCCGTCTCCGTGAAGAGTGTCAAGCATGTGTTGCCGCTTTTGGAGATGATGAAGCCGTTGGTTGCATCGAAGTCGAACCTCTCGTTGCTGTTGCCTTGCACAAAGTTGACGTAAAGGCCACCGTAAAACTCGGAGAGGATCAATTGACCACCCGACGTGCAAAACCGCAACGGTACAATGTTTGGGGACATGGTAGGCGAGACGCCTGGGGTCGGAGCCGGCGTGTCTGTAGAGATCGGCGTCGGTGTCGGCGTTTCTGTGGTGATGGGTGTAGGCGCCGGGGTTGCGTCCGTCGCGCTCGGCGTCGGTGCCGGCGTCTCATCAGTCGGGGCGTCGGAGCTGGCGTCTCATCAGTTGGGCTCGGCGTAGGTGCTGGTGTCTCATCAGTAGGCTCGGCTAGGTGCTGGTGTCTCATCAGTCGGG